TCTCCATCTGCCTCCCCTCCTCTTTAAGCCCCTCTGAGGGAGTATCAGAGAGTACAGAATTTACCATGTGTCACACTGGCATCCACTAAATGTTTTATTGCCCGGAATAAACCCGGATCACCTGTTTTATGTCTCCGAAAACTTGGTTTCCATGCCTGGTGAAAGCCACAAGCTAAAATAGCACTGCATGCAGTACCGACTGTGCCTTAGGACATTACACTGGTGAGCTCACTACCTAACACAACACAGACAATTTGGAAAGGACAGTGGTGCACTTATTAGGTCCTCAAAGGAGAGTAGAGGGAATCGGTGCTGTATAGAAGTCAGCTGTTCTTACTGTCTAAGTGGTAAATCCTATGGTCGTGAACAATAGGCAACGAGCAATATATATATATTTTCGTGAACAATAGGCAACGAGCAATATATTTTTTTTTTAAAATATAGGTAACACAAAGACACTGAAAAAAGCTAAATTTGATAGCAAGCTTATATAGAGTTCCTGCCGGCGGGAGGTTCTAGGTTTGATTCCACCTAGCCCCAAATTCGATGTTGAACTGCTTCAGGAAGAGGATCCTGTATAAACTAGACCAGACGACTATACCTGTGCCAGCCTACCATTGTAGCGATCATGCAAATAGTTACTGGTTAAATTCCACTTCGTCTCCAACCTCGAGTTGTGTTGGGTCAGGAAGGGCATCCAGCATAAAAACTGTTAAATTCCTGCCGTTGTTCCGACTCCCAGTGAAGGGACAAGAACAGAAGGTTTGAGGTTTGATTCCACCGCTCACCATCCAGGGTAAAAAGAAAAATCACCATGTGGGCTACCATACCCCTGTATTGCCCCTGAGAAAAAGTGAGATTGAAAAGGATTCTTCTGTGATTTATTCTCATGCTGGAGCGGTCATTTTGGATGAAAAATAAAAAAGGATCAGACCACCGTCAATGATGTTATCGTCTGCCTTTTATCATTAGCTCTTTGTCATTGTCAGGTCCAAACAGCAAAGGCATCACAAGCTGGTTTCACTCAGGCAACATTTAAATTCTGTCAGTGTTCACTCTAAAGTTTTGTCTTCAAAGATTTCACTAAATCTTTGTGCCGTAGCCACATACGCTCTTTTGTGCCCATATTGTATTTATTTTTTCTTTCTGAACTTAGGGATGTGTATTGTTGAACGATACATCATTGTGAGAGGTTAGTCACTTTTCAGCATAGTAATGTGATGTTGCTCTGTGTGTGTATTAAGGAGTCGAAGGAGAGGAGGGGAATGGAGATATCTGATAGATCTATGGACTCTGCTACTTTGCAATGGAATCTGTGTAACTTGGCTAAATAAGAAAGTAATATTTCAGCGGATGCTAACACACACGTATAGGGGTGGGTTTGATTTATGAGAGCACGGCACTGTGTGTTTGTGTCTGTCACTGTATTGTGCAGAATGATTGTTAGTGTGCGTGCGTGCTCGATGTGGGTGTTATTGCCAGGGATGGTGCAGACTAGAGCACAGCTTAATATCTATGTTTGACATGGAGGCCCATTAATAAGGGCCTGATCCCAGCCTAGTGACAGGACTGCTGACAGAGGAGGATCATGGGGAAGAATCATGCCCTGCTGTGGGAGCCCGGGCTGCAGGTAGGCCCAGTCTGCCTTCCCCAGGTGTCATTACGGATACTGGGGAGGGAGCAGAGGAGGCTGGGCCGTTTCTGACATCTACATTAATCACCCCTCCACACATCAGCCCCCAAGTCTGCTCACCACCTCACCCCACCTCCAACTCCTAATCATCCCACACAGAGACCCAAACCCAGTAAGGGGATACTCGGCCATGAAAGATATCCAGCTAAGAGCTCCCCAAATACCACTCCGATCTGATCGTGAGTGATGTTGCTACCTGAACCTCTGACCTGGAACACAATTAAAAACACTTTCCTCTTTCTCCCAGAGACGCACAGAAGGCACGGCTTAGCTGGAACTACTCATTTTGTCACTGTCTGCCTGTGATTCATTGTTTGCATTCGAATTGCACCGGGGTTGTGCGCAATTAAAATGCAGGAAATATCTGTGCTGGAATGTGCCATCTCCAAACCCCCATAGAGCCCAGTGCTGTTGCACACGCCCCTGATTGCCTTGTAGATATTACCCTCTCAATTCAGGAACCCCCTATTGATCCTCAGCTGTGCTTTTACTCACATTAAAACAACAACAGTACTAAGAGTTTAGTCTTTTGACGTAGCTGTACTTTAGTTATTTTTAACCAAAACAACTGGAAATACGAGATTTGTTGGTTTTTATCACTATTTTAGTGAATGGACTTTGGGAATCAACTTGACCTAAGTCACTTGCGTATTGGACAAGGATGGATGTGGCTACCATCGAACATCCAACCTAATGAGGGGCTTCACCCAGGCTCCATCAATGAGCAGATGTTCTCACAGAAATAATAGAAAATTAACTGATTGATTATTAGTTTTGGTCAAATTAAAGACACATAATTGCCCGGAAAATGTGACAGTAATTGTGACATGATTGGTTTAGGTCAAAACAAATGATCTGCTGCAGCATCTGGTGGAAACTCAAATTGCTTTTAAAGGGATATTAATAAAAAGGTTCAAGCACCTCCTCACACATGCCAGGGCCTAATGGGACTAAAGCCCACGACTCAGGGGCTGGGTGGCGACTCTTAACATTGAAAGTAAGAATACGAAGAAAAAATATATGTAAAGGATTGACTTTTCAGTTAACTGTCAGGATATTTGGATTTTAGTGAATGTTCTGACCCTGAAAAACTGCGGTTGTTTTAGAAGAAAAAACTGATTAATCCTACATGTGAAATTGTACTTGTAGCACACTGCTGAGGTTTTCTCTTTCAGCTCGTCATTTGTCAGGGGTCACCGCAGTGGTAGTCTGTTTAATGATTTGACAGAGTCTTTACAGAAGTTGACTTTTCTAATGACATGCTTCCAGTGGAGCTTCCATGAGATGCTATCCAGAAGATGGCGAAAGTTCCCATCAAGAAAAAACATTTAAAAACCATTTGTTACACTTACAGTTACACATTTCCCCTTTTGTTGCAGCTTTCCAGTCCAGTCCCCCCCCCCCCCGCCCATCCCCTCCCACCCCACTCCAAGTGACATCCCACTCGTTTGTTTGCGGTTGCAGTTAATCTAAAACACTCTCCCTCTTTTCAAATGAAGAAAAAGTAATCAAAGCAGAAAACTGTGTTTGTCAATGACATTATTAATGTTGCCACAACAAACGATCTGTGACATTCTGAGACATAATCCCATATTATGGCGTCTGTGTCTTAACCCCACCATCTCATCTTTACGTAGCCAGCTACAGCACAGCCCCCGATTTAATTAAAAAAAAAATCTACTTGCAGCTAATATTCAGAATGTCGCTGCCTCAGCTGCACGTACAGGGAGAGAAATTGATGACTTAAAGACTGGGCATGTGTGAGAATTACACTCTGCTTACTTTTTCATCATTGAAACCGTACATCCGGTTGTTTACGTTTGAAGTGGGCTTTTCTTCTTCCTCAATGACCTTTTTCCCCCATTCTCTTGTTTTCCACACTCTTTTATTTCCCTCAAACCTTCAGCAGCACTGATGACACTATAAATTTCCCTTTGACTCTCTTCAGTGCGTGTGAGACTGTGTTTGTGTGTTACACACATCTGGCAGAATCTAGGGCAGCGTGGAGGCACTGAGAAGACAGCATTTGCATGCGGCTCACAAACATATTAGGGTATGAAGACAAATCACTGTGTCTGGCCGCCTGACAGCGCTGCCTGCATTGGGAGCAGGCGAGTAAACTTGCAACATGTCACAGTTCCCAGTAAGACCTTTGTGGGGCAGGCTACAACATGCAGCCTGACAAACAAACCATGAGCAGCCAAAGCTATTATTAAAGGCAACAGAAGTGGTTCGTTTTGCCCGAGCCATCCTGACATGGTGCTGGCCTCTGTGTGTTTTACAGGGAGAGTATGGTTTTCACAGACACCTGGGGGGCATTTAGCGTGAGGTTTGAAGGCTTTGTTCTACAGGTGACTTTGATGTAAATGAAAACTAAGACTGTTTCTGCTGGTGCTATTGTTCCTCAAACTGAAAAAGGTCAGAACCAGAAATGGTCTGGTCATTTTTTTTTTACAATGCACTTTTTTCAGTAGAAATGAGAATGTGTTTATATAATATAAACGATCAAACTTAAATATAGGTTAAATAATCGCTATGTAGACTCTGTGGTGACGTGTCATCCCTATTTTGTTAGGGTGCATTTATCTTATCTACCTAATTATCAAGGGTAAATGTGATGCCACATGGCTATGTAACCTTGTCTGCTTCTATAATACAACTTGGTACAAGCACAGTTCAGATGCTCTGTGACGGGGCTTGCTGTCGCTGACACCAGTAGGGGGAGCTCACAGCTTGTGGCTCAGACTATGATGAACCAGTGAGATTGTGTGGACAGGGCTGCTGTTGGGCAGCGGTGCAGATCACATACAACGGTACACAACTTCCCTCTGTTGCTTTACACGAACACGAATTTGGTCTTTTCATTTTTCAAAAGCAACTAAATCTATTTTGACTCCTATTTTGTATATGGAACCAGGTGCACATGACTGTAATGTGAGAAGAGGCTGTTGTCTGTTCATCTTGGTTAGAAGGCTCAGCCTTTCAATGATTGATTTTTTTTTTGGCCAGATCATATTCACAATTCTGCACCGGTAACTAAGTACATGACCATTCACGGACCAATCAGCACCTTCAAAATCTAAAGAAGTAAACCACCCAAGGACACACTAACCTATAAAATATAATAATTTTGGATTTAAATATTGTTTACAGATGTTTCATAAAACATTTAAACATGTTTTATGAAATGTATATAAATATATGAAATGTGTGTGTGCGCGTGTGTTTAATGAGGACATAGTGTGGATTTATAATCCAACTCACTGCACCAGTGCTGACATTTACGACAGGGTTGTTTATTTACTTGGGATCAATAGTGTGCCATTCATTTTTAATTGTTATTATCCCTCTTGATTTTACACCTATATAAAACATTCATAAATCTGGATTCAGATCCGGACCGTCCTTGACTTTACTGGACTCAGATCCGGACTGTCCTTGACTTCACTGTCTCCCCACGCTGTTGCCGTTCCCACCCGTGTTCCAGTGCAAGCGTGTCAGTGTCGGTGAGTGTGGAGAGCTGTGGGGCTGTGCCGGGTGCGCAGAGACTGTGCGCTCCTAGCGGTAGCGCAGTTGAAACTGTAAAGGCAGGAAGACGGAGGAGAGAGGGATGTTGGACTGACTTGTGACTGTGACATTTACACTGCTACAATCCCGGGCTTTCAGCGAGACGTCGGACCTGTTTAGAATAAAACAACTTTCTGAGAGAATGCGTCGGAGTTGGAGGCAGGTTCGCAGCCTGCGTATCCACGGATCCGTGTGCTGAAGATTTGAAAGGTGCCAAAGACGCGTCTCAAGTGAAGACAGGATATATGCGCTGAAGAAGCGCACAGGCGTCAGCAGCGACGTTGGTGTTTCCTGTGTGGACTTCTGTGTGACTGACTCTGTAGACCTCATCCTCACAGAGAGCCTCGTATTTGACAGTGAATGAACTCGGACACGAATTAAAATTAAAATAGAGCGCAAGTTTGCAGGATCCTCACACCCCGGTTGACCTGTGCTCTCCGGTTAAATGGATCCTTTCTGTTTTTGGACAGTGATAGTGGCCGGTGTCAGTAAGTAGCACCTTTCCACAAACTCCCACGAACAGTACGGAATAGACTCGGGCTGTCACTGTGGACACATTTTCCGACAGGGACTTGGAGGATTTGCGCGCCCGCTGTGGATGTTTTAATATGCGAGTATGGGTCCGCTAGCCTTCATCCTTGTTGGTGGATTACTGTATTTTCAAGCTGATGGTAAGTTGGTATCATATCTGTATAGGTTGTACTGTTTTACACTCACTCACCCGCTTGGAGATATTTGTTGTTGAATGGAGTTTAGAGAACAGGAATATCTGTGGATACAAAGATACCTACATAACAACGGAGTGATTTTATTTAATATAAAGGATCTCAAAAGTTGTTTTTTGTTTGGTAAAGGTTTCTTTGAGTCATTTAAACTCATATGGTCAGATCCAGCCTGTCCTCCAACCACAGCTACTGTCTTTGCGTTAGTTTATTTTGTTTTATGTGCAACAGATAAAAGCAGAAACACAATTTTTTGAATATATATTTATAAAAATAAGTTAACTAATATAACTAGCATGTTTGGTCTGGTAAAGGAATTAAATATTAACCTAGACTTTTTTGATGACACTAAGCAAATGTGTTGTTAAAGGTTGTGTTGCTTCCGGTGGACGACTTGAAAGCTGTTCAAATCCAATTAAAGAACAAATAAAAAATGATTACAAACAATTTTAGTTTTTAGAGAACAAATAAAATCCAATAACCGCACAAAAAAGTTTGTTTAGACCTGTAGACAGAAGAGTTTGTGAAAGGTGTCGTGATGTGACGCTTCTCCTTCTTAGTTCAGATTTCTTGGCTTGGTCTTATTAACCTTATTTATTTAATTAAACCAACATAATGGTTATCATTGAGACTGCACATAAAAACACCAAGAATCATTTCCGCTGTTAAAAGTGTGTGCTTTTTTTGTTACTAGCTGCTAAGTCAGGAGTTTTTTTTTACTCTTATGTATAAGGCTGCCTCAGACTCACGGCCTGCAGTTAAAGTGGTTTAATGTGGGGATAAAAGCACCTTAACTGCACACTTAATGAGATGAAATGCATTAATCACTAAAGAAGGGGTTTCATAATTAACATTGAAACGGCAACAACCTGTGACTGCTGGAGTGATGGCATGATGGTAATGTGTCTGTCGATTTAATCTGGTCGCACCTTTTTTTTTTCAGTCATCTCTCGTGTGTCACGTCACACATGCAAACCTGCACAAAGCATAGGCTTATCAATGTAAAACAAGGAAATATGACTCCTGAACCGTCACTGACTCCAGCTTTATACATTCATATTGTGTAAGTGATGATTCATATGTGGCATAAGTTTGCTTTGAGTTGTTTGCACAACTCGGCTCTGTGAAGCTGCTTTTTCTCAGCCATGAATTCAAGAGCCTGCGAGGGCCCATTTTTCTTTTTCTTTCACCTGTCAACTCCCACTTTTGTTCTTTACAGCTGCTTGTTTTGCTTTTCTTTTCAGTTCCTTTTGCTCTCTGTAGTTAGTAAATCAGTGTCTGCATATGTTGAGGTTTTAAATGTTCTGTTTCCCTTCCTAATTCTTCTTTTTTTTTAACATTTTTTTTGCATCTTTTGCTCTTTTCACTCTTCACCTAGCCCACTGGTTGCTAAGCAGTGGTTGATGGCATTGGTGGCTGCACATCTCCCCGGGAGCAGTGGATCTTCCCAATAATTTGCCTGTCACCTTCCTCCCCCATGTTTCCGTCCACTCCCCTTTCCATCTCGGCAAAACTCACCCATCACCCAGCCCTTTTCAGACTTAATCTGACGTTCCTGAGAGTGGGAGGGGTCTGTTCTAAGGGTCCACTTAGGCAGACAAAAAGGTCTGGAGTTGCATTCACTGGGCACAACAGCCAACAAAGCCAGTCCTCATCAATGGCGTTAGTCACTGTTCAGTGTGCTGTGATTTATACTGCCAGTGTGTAAGGCAAGGAAAGAAAAGTGTTTACTGGGTGTGTTGTCAGGGCTTGAAGCCAGAACATGTTGTTTGGGATCTACAACAAGTTTGTTTATCTGAAGAGGGTGACACTTTACTGTGAGTTGGGGAGATTTCAGCGGGAGATATTTTTAAAAAATACAATAGAAAGCAGCTGTCTGGTTATCTCTTCAATTCAACTGTTCTTCTTTTGAAGCGGGATTAAAAGATGCTTCGCATAGATGTGCACTCCTGACCCCGTGCTATTTTAAGATGCCCTGCATGTCTGTGTCTGATGTAGGCGCTGGTGGCATTAAACCATTCCTGGTAATGCAGAAAGAGTTGCAGCAATGTTCTTTAACATGAATCTTGAATCAGATTTCTGGGGTTTTTTTAGGTTTGGCATACTGTTAACATTGAAATGTTGTTTACTCAACATATGGAAATGCTCAAATAACAGTTATAACTTATATCGTAGACCAAGAGTTGTGTGATCCATTTGTTTGATTTGTGAAGCAGAGACATGAATAATTCAGAGAATCGTAAGCAGATCTGTCTTTTTTTGGATGTACTGTACCTCTGTGTGCATGTGAAATAACCAAGCAAACTAGAACACATAAAGCTTTCAAAACAACAGGAAATTTGCCAAAACTGTGTACAAAAATGATAAATAAATCAATAAAAAAATTGAAAAGCATTCAAGTTGCTTGGACAATTGATTGTAGTTAAATCATGTAAAGTGATGTGGCTTAGATCTCAGCAGTCCTGAGGTCCTCAGCTCCACTGATGGCCATAATGAATTACTGTGGGTTGCCCTATAATGGGGGGGATACAGTCAGATTAAAATAGTCCTGAGAGAATGATGAGGACGGCTCAAGTCATTGTACTGGAGCCGTTGTGACGTCTTGTCCCAAATGTGATTGTTCCACTCGACTTAGCTGCGTTTAGGAAGCACTGTTGTAATTGCATTTCATTTGCTGGAATGGGCCTGCTGTAATGATGAACCATCATCAGAGATCAGGAACAGGAAGCTCCTCTGCACTGTCTCCTACAGTCTCATCAGTGTCAGCCAAGCCACTCTCCCCTGCACCAGGGAGCACGTCTGTTTATTGTCTGATTACCATTGAATTTGAGTGGGATGAGGAGAGCGTAAGACTGAGAGGAAGTGATTATATTTTAGGAGAAAACGATTCTGAAGTATGAGGAAGACGTTAGCAGGTGTTCAACTCTTGCAGGTCACTGCGTGTGTGTAATAAGTGTTAGCTGACCAGTGTCATGAGCCTGTCAACTCCAATGATATTTTAACAGTCAGGTCCTGTTACTCTGGGGCTCCTGCTCCGGCAACCATCACTTCACACATTCAGTTCAGACTAAAGTCAACTGTGAATTCTGCATACCAAATTTAAGGTCTAAAATCCTGCTCACATGTAATGTTTACAAACAGCAATAATGGATTTCTTGCTGAAATCTCGGGTCATATTATGGTTAATGCATCCTTCATTATGCACACGTTGGTGGGTGGAAAAAAACCCACATAGCATGCACATGGCTGATTTTGCCACGAGATTAACCGTGGTGTACGGGAGCTGAAACCACTTTTTTCCTGTTTTACCTCCGCTTTATTAAACATCAGCCAAGCATGCCCTGACATTTAGAGAGCACAGAGCAGAGGCAGGAGCAGTGCCTTCATTCTCTGTGAGTAGACAAACAAAGACAAAGTATTAGAGATCACCAAATAAAAAGAAGGTTTATAAAGAAAACAGGCATGTAGTAGTGAAGGATCTGAAGTCCTGGGACTCATCCTCCTTTCTCTAGCTCACAATCACTGTCACGTTATCTTTGCACAACGATCCCTTGTTGACAGTGTCCATGGTGGTGGAATTCAAACACTAAGGGGCCGTTGCACACCTGTAGTGGCAGTTTGGTTGGCTGAACGGGGGGAGGAGTGTTATGATGAATTGAACGTACTGTCTGTTAGGTAGAGCACACAGTCATCGGGGACATCACCTGTCTCACACACCTGTACATATAGAATATATACACTACACCTGTGCTTACCCATCTGGGCCTCAAGATTTAATCCTTGCTTTTTCTCTTATAGTTATCTGTTTCCAAAACAGTGGGATGGGATTCCGACAAACAGGAAAATAAATTGATTTCATTACTGTTGTAGAATCTGTGATGATTCGATGATAGTAAGTGACACTTATCAATCAATAAGCCCGACTGCCTCTTTGTTGGACAGATTATTCGGTTACACTGTGAATGCGTTGAGCTTTGTTATCTCCGGCAAAATTGATTAGCTACAAAGCAAGTTGAAATGCAGAGAGGGAGGCAGAATGAAGTGCAACACACTGGCCTGCGGTGCCTGAAACACTGCTTTTCCCTTATCTGTGTTTTATGTTTATTGCTGCACTGAAATGATGTGTTTGGGGAACCATAATTGCTCTGTATCTCGTTGCCCTCACTTTGCCCTCTGGTTGGTCATTTAAGAGAACCCTGGGTTGGATATATACTCACAGACAAGAAGCAGCAAAGCCATTAGAGTAAGTATACATACTCGTGGGTTCACGGTCACGTTGGCCATAGGGAAACTTAAAAATGTACACTGGAGTACAAAGGGGATAAAATAGATATAATAGAAAGAAAGACGGTAATCGTAGACACTTGGTTATTCACTGTGTTTCTAGCTGTTGTCCGCCAGTTTAACTTCACATGCTTTTCTTGTTTTTATTTTCTGTTTGTTCCATCAGCCGTGTACCTTGTGATTCTTCATTGTCAAGAGTTTGTGTGACAGTTGTACCTTAGCTGAGTGTCTCACCAGTGTCTGGAGAGATGAGGTCAGGACCGGTGATAAAAATGCATGAGCTGTCTCTCAACGTGAGATGTGTGAAGATGGACAGGCAGAGCGCCACACTTAAGCACACATCAGTCACACACAGCAGTGGTCCAGGAGCAGCTGTATGGCTGCTCAGAGTGTTGGAGTCTCTGAATGTGTGTCTGGGTCCTCCATCTCCATCCCTGACTTGCTCTGGGGATCACTCAACCGTGATGGCCAGGTTCATTTTGCTCAGAACAAGTAACCGAGAGGTTCCACACCTACGCACTTACACATTGCTCAACCTATATACCTACTCACTGATTTAGCTTTTGGCAGGTTTCTGTATTTTCTCAATGTGTTGATAAAACCCGTAACATCAATATTTCACAATAAAAAATGCACCTCTGAACTTGAAAGCCAACGAGGGTCCT